GACTATTGTATATGCTGTCTATAAGAGTCACACTTAAAACATAATTACGTAGAGCAATTGAAAGTCAAGGAATGGAAAGAGACTCACTAGAGAATTACCACTAGAAAGGCAACTAATGTAGCAATACCAGTTTCAGAGAAAAAGATTTTAAGACAAAGAGAATCAGTAAGATAAAAGAGATCAGATTTAACAATAATTCATTAGGAAGATTGAACACTTAAATCTATTACACCTAATAATATAAAGCAAATTATATAAAGCAAAAATTATATAAAGCAAAAATTGATAGTATTAAAGAAGAAAAATGAATTTCCATAATCCCAGAAGATTTTAACTTACAGATCACTTTAGCAAAAAGATAAATCTTATAAATGCAAAAATCCTAAATGAAATTTCAGCAAATCTAAGGCAATAAAGTTTGCAGAAAAACATCATAATGAAATAGAATTCATTCCAAGAATCTGAGGGTAATTTAACATTTAAGTATTTTCTCTAATTCTCTGTAATAATTTATGTGTTGAATTAATAAGAGAGAAAAGCCATATCGGGGGATGTCCATTTGCCAGCAGGAAGCAGGCCTAAGCTGCAGTCAGACATCCTTAGTGCTGCTGAGGAGGCAGGAGAGGCTCCTGCCACCACCACTGTGCTGGCAGCCATCAGCCTGGCTTGTGGCTGAGCAGAGCTTCCCCTGTGGGAGCGCACTGACCACCAGGGGGCAGCTCCTGCATTGAGCATCTGCCCCCTGGTGGTTAGTGTGTGTCATAGTGACCAGTCATTCCCAGTCATTCTGCTGTTAGGGTCAATTTGCATATTACCCATTTATTATATAGAATAGAGGCCTGGTGCACAGTTGGGGGCCAACTGGTTTGCCCTGAAGGGTGTCCTGGATCAGGATGGGGGTCCTTCTGGGGAGCCTGGCCAGCTTGGGTGAGAGGCTGATGGCTGTTTGCAGGCTGGTCAAGCCCCCCAGTGGGGACCTTCACCCCATGCGGGTTTGGCCAGCCTGGGTGAGGTGCTGAGGGGCGTTTTCAGGCTGCCCACACCCCCTTCAGGGTAGGGGTCCCCACTGGGGTGCCTGGCCAGCCTGGGTGAGGGGCTGATGACTGTTTTCAGACTGACCAAGCCCTCCGGCGACCGAAGCTCCCAGCTTTTCCTTTTTCTGTGTTTTTTTTATTCGCTCCAGCTCCGTGGCCATGGCGACTGGAAGCAGGTAACTGGGGTTTATTTACTTTCTATAATTATTTGCATATTTGTCTTTTATTAGTGTAGATATAGACTAGGAGCCCAGCGTGTGATTCAAAATCGTGCAGCGCCGCCCACTCCCTCTCTGGCCCTTGAAGCAGCCATGACCACTGCTGATCAGGCCCTCCCCCAGCACAGGTGCGCGGAGGCCCCTGCCGCCCCACCCCCGATGCTGTGCGTGCAACCTTCTCCTGTCCAGTTGACCCGTTATGGCATCCCAGTTAATTAGCATATTTCTCATATATATATAAAAGCATCTGGCTTATGGTGGGGGCAGAGCAGGTGGCTGCTCTCCCGTACTGCCAGTATTAGAATAAACGCTCATATATGATTCAACCCTGTCTCTGCTAAGTTGGCTCAAGTAGTGACAGGCAGCCAGACCCCTTGGTTGTCTGGTTACAGATACACATAAAGAAGCATTTCTTGCCAAAACCGGTTTGGCTCAGTGGATAGAGTGTCAGCCTGCGGACTGAAGGGCCCCAGGTTCGATTTCGGTCAAGGGCATGTACCTGGGTTGTGGGCACATCCCCAGTGGGAGATGTGCAGGAGGCAGCTGATCAATGTTTCTCTCTCATCGATGTTTCTAACTCTCTATCTCTCTCCCTTCCTCTCTGTAAAAAATCAATAAAATATATTAAAAAAAGAAGCATTTCTTAAATGGCCAGGAAGAATATACAACAGCTACAAGACTGTGATTACCTCTGGAGAGAAAGACAAAAATTTGATTACTGAGAGATGAATATTACTGCATCTGTGATGTTTCATTTATTTAAAAAACTAGAGGCTCAGTGCATGGAATTTATGCACGGGGGTGGGGGGAGGTGTCCCTCACACCAGCCTGCACCCTCTCCAATCTGGGACCCTCCAGGAGATGTCCCTGTGGGATTGGGCCTAAACCGGCAGTCAGACATCCCTCTCACAATCCAGGATTGCTGGCTCCCAACTGCTTGCCTGCCTGCCTGATCACCCCCTAAACACACCCCTGCCAGCCTGATCGATGCTTAACTGCTCCCCTGCTGGCCCAATTGCCCCCAACTATCCTCCCCAGCTGGCCCGATCTCCCTCAACTTCCCTCCCCTGCCGGCCCTGTCACCCCTAATTGCTCTCCCCTGTTGGCCTGATTGCCCACAACTACCCTCCCCTGCCAGCCAACTTGTGGTGGCCATCTTTGAACACATGGGGGCAGCCATCTTGTTATATAGAATTTATTATATAGAATGGTAGAGGACAGATGTGATGAAATATTAATTTGTGAAAGATAAGTGTTGGTAAGTGGATAGTTGTATTACTCTGTAGTTTTCAAGTGTGTGCAAAATATTTTATGCAATAAAGAAAAGATCATAAGTGGCAGATTAAATCACAACTAGAGTTTCATGTGAAGAGGGAAGATGATTCTAGGTAGGAAGAAGCAAACAAAAGAAAGTGTGGCTCCTTGGCACTGAGGCTTATGGCCTAAGTCTCCTTTGGGAATGTTGAGTGCATGTCAGATTTGGAACGCATCCTTCTGATTGTTCCCGTTGTTCCCAGAAGCCCCAGGAACTCCTGAGTGCTTCCAAGCATGTGTGCGCGTTTAAGGCTGGGGTCTGGCACATAAGTAAAGATGGGGAAAGGAGAAGATGGAGAATTCAGCTGGCTTGGAAGCAAGATGTCAGTTTTGATTTAGAATTAGCAGGAAAATAAAACGAGAGAATGTGTTGAAAGACGAGCACAAAGCATGTGTGCCTGAAAACAATGCCTTGGGTGGGTGTTCTAAGACACAGATTTTACCGTGTGTGGGTACTTTATTTCCAGAGACGCTTGAATGCTGTTCTTTTCTTCTTCTCCTCCTTTTTAGAGTCCTAATGAAGTTTGTTGAAGCCAAGACAAATTTTTCAAAGTTACATTTTCCCCCCCATAAAATACATGCTGCATAAATACATAATGAGAACCTCCCAAAGCCATCGCTCAGGCAGCAATTCATTGGTTCAGTTTAAACTAGGCATTGCAGCCATGGCAAGCAGTCTGAAAGAGAATTGAAAAATGCATCACGAGGCTACATGGTTCAGTAACAACGTCAATATTGGTCACGTGAAATAAAACTACTGGCAGATGTCATTTAAGCTCATCTTGGAATTTTCGATGACTGACGGAGCGAAGGTGTCACCTTGAACATGTACCTGTGACATTCAAACACATCTGTACATGCAGTAACAAAAACCCCTGCGCGCCCTTTTCTTATTCTAGTGCTCGCCAACCGACATCCATGGGGTGTTTTATTTGACTAACATCCCACAGCTTTCTCTTAAAAATTTCTTTATCACATTCAAAAAAAATACCTGTGCTTCAAGTCAGATTATAAGCTTGACTTTTAATGTGAACCTGCTCAGTAACAAGAGAAAAGGGCTTTAACATGGACAGGGGGTGGGCGGGGCAGGTGGTAGATAGATTTATGGTGTCGCATGTCTTTTACAACATCAGTACCAGGCTCAGTTCCACCTGCATGGTTGGGAAAGGTTCTCAAAAGTCAACCAGCAAGAATCTTCTTCTGTGGCCAGTGAGGTCCCTGTTGGGGGCTTTGCAGTAGACTCATTTCCTGGACCCTCTCGTTTCACCCTACCTCCCACCCCCAGGCCTTCCAGGTTTCTAACTAAATGGAAGTTGTATCTCCCAATCCCTAAAAACTAGAGGAGATTTAGAATGTACCAAACTTGGCTAGCAAGTCACAGGGAGCCGGGTGGGGTTAAAGTTGCAAATGCAATCCTGGCAAGATGCGGCAATACATAATTTCCGTTTTCTTTTAGAAAAGCACATGAAATGGTTTTGGAAAACGAGCTACATATTGCTTCTCCAGCTCCTCGTAAATTATTCGAATGTTGTGTCTGGTGGCTGACCTTCCAAATTCTGCAGCTTAAAAGTGAAAGTGCGCCCCAGTATTGAAGACGGATGACACCCACTTAAGCACGGGAGAGTCCGCGTTTGATGGAGGCCAATTTTGGACCGTGATACACAGGGAAGCCTTCATGGCCCCAGAAAACATGGCATGAAAGAACCAGGAGGCAGAGAAGTTTGTAAAGCAAAACCCACACCAGCTCCTATTTCTGTTCCCCAAGCATGAGCAGCAGCCAAGGTTTCTAGGTCGAGTCCTAAATCTGATGGGTTTCATCAGAAAAGATGTTCGTAATATGGAAAATCCATGCTGCTTTAGATAAATTCATTTATTATGATTTTTAATGGTTTGGTCATTCCTTTATTTTACAATATTTAATTTTTTAAAAATCCTCACCCGAGGATAACTTTTCATTGATTTTTAGAGAGAGTGAGAGAGGGAAAGACAGAAATATTGATGTGAGAGAAACACATCGATTTGGTTGCCTCCTGCATGGGCCCTGACCAGGGCCTGAACCAGGGAGGAACCTGCAACTGAGGTACGTGCCCTTGACCGGTATCGAACCCTGGACCCTTTGGTCCATAGGCTGATGCTCTATCCACTGAGCCAGACCAGCCAGGGCCGTTTTACAATATCTAAATGAGCTTCTCTGATTTGCTCCCCGTGTTCATGTTTGAGCAGCTTGTCATGTGAAAGGGCAGGTAAAGGGAGCTATTATGTTTGCAGCCATGAGGAAGGATGACGATAAAGGAGGAAAACAGAATTGTTTGTATACCAACAATTTCTGGATAACAGATCCTATTGCAGCAAACATTCCTCAAGAAAGTTGTTTCAACCACACACACAATATTCTGCTCATTTCCATGTCAAATAAAAAAAAATAGAGGAAGGGTAGGCAAGGGAAATAAACATTTATTGAGCCAGGCACTGAGCTGGGAATTTTCAATAACATGAATAGAAATATAATGACCGCATTGTACTGGGACGTCTACGATTTTGTTTGACAAGCATTGTTTTTGGCGTGCAAAAAAGATGAAGATGTTAGGGTAACAGCAATTAGCATAATCTCCCATACGATTGACAAAGATGTAACTGTCCATGTTGTCTCCTCAAAATGGAAAGAGACAAAGGAGTAAATCCACGGAAAACAGAAAGCACAAGGTTCAATAACCAAAGATTTACAGAATTAAAAATGCAGGATAAATTGGATGATTATCATCTATAATTCTTTAAGGCTAAAAAGAAAAAAAATCATCATTATATTAAGTACATGTAGAAATAAATTTTAAAAATTGAAACAAGATTAGTTATGATATATGATTGACTTTTCCCATACCATAATATATTTGATGTCTAAAATCAAATAAGGAAAAAACTTATTTCTACGTGGAATTGGGCAAATCAAACTGTGAGAGATAACATCATCATGACTTTGGGCAACAGGTGATTTATGGTTAGGAAACAAATCTGCTCTCTGGTTTTGTTGGTTTTTCATCAGTGACTAACTGTGTGTTCTTTCTGGTCCTTATTCATCATCCAGTTTTTAGTAGATGTAGAAATGGCTCTTGAGACAACCTAGCATAAACCTGCAAAATGGTGAATTAGAAGGTGTTGTCTCATGTAAAAACAAGCAAACAAACAAACAAACACAACTATCCAACAGCTTTTGTAACAATCGCTTCTAATTTTCCACTTAATGGTGAAGAATTCTGCTTGGCATTTTCTAGGAAAGAGACAAAGCAGAGGTAGTGGTAGCTTTGAAAACGTGGAACTTTATGCTATTACACAGTCTTTACTTCAATATGGCTTTACAGAAGACACAGGCTGCTTCAACATTGCTTTGGTTTCCACACGAGACTCTGAAATTTTAAAAAAATGAACGATCAAGCACAAAAGCAGGCCCCATGATGCAAACAACACTCAAGAAGCATCAGAGGTCACGCGGAGCAAAGCTGAGGGCTTGGTTGACTTTCAAAAAATTGTTGGTTGTACTCTAAACACTTAACACCCCAGCTCAGCTATACAAATGGCATATTATACTACTTCTACACAAAGATTAAGAAAAAAATTAGTGTATTCACGGTTTCAACAGAATTGTATGATTACATATTTCCTTCAGTTTTGTTTTACAGACACAATCATATTGAAACTACATATGAATAGACTGTAAGTCATTAAATAATTATTTTTGTTTGTGTAACATGAGTTTCACAACATGAGGATTGACTATACACTAGTATTTCAATGTGTCTTAGAGTTTTTGAACCACATAAAGCACGATAATGTAAAATAATATAATAGTTACTTTAAAGTCAGGAATACCACCTGGCAAATACAACAAATATACCACTGAAACAGAGCTGAAGCATGAGACGTGACACCCTTCGTTCTAACAATAAGCAGCTTTGAAGAAAGGACATTAGGACAAGAAGGGGAGGTAGTTATTTTGAAAAATTAAAAAACCATTTCATCAGGAATTTTACAAAACAAATTATTTCTCAGAAGTATCTCTGCCATGTAGTTTTCCAATTTCAGATAGCATAACAAAAAGATGCTTTATTTCCCTCCAGGACTTGTGAAATTTGCATGGAAAAACTCAGACTATATTTTGAAGTTTATCCAGGTGACGCATAATTTGACCACAGCTATTAAATATTATTTTTGTTATTACTACTTCTGTAGCCAAAGTTTTGTGAGTTAATTGTTTTTTTCTGTTTAATAAGAAGCAGGTGGAACTTAACTAATAGACTAAGACTATCCAAGGTCTCTCTCTATTCATTGGCCACATCATATGAATAAGATATGTTTTACCACTCTGCACGTCTCAGCTCATCCTGACTTGAAATCAGAGCATAGGTCAAAGGAATCCATGGGCCTATGGTGTTGTGAGTTATGTACATCTCAACTCAGAACACTGAATAGATTATGGATTCACCAGGTTTCATAAAATTTGGGTTTAGCATTTAATGGACTCCCGAGATGCCCAAACCTCTGAAAATGTTCTATTTTCGATCTTTTTCCTTTCTTTGAAATAGATGCTATGAGGATCTCAGGCCAAAAACCACCTTCCTGAAAAACACCAGTCTGAGGAGAGAGCTCCCACTTGATTCGCACATCGTGGGACACATCCAGGCCATACTTAGACATAGAACTCCTGGCGAGACCACCAGCCCTCAGCAATCATTCTATAGCGTTAAGTTTCTGTTTAAGACCTCCAGGACCGAGCTGTCAACGTCGCTTGGATTTATGAATGGCCTTTGAATTAGTTTAGTAATTAATGAATAGAGCTAGAATCTCTAAGCATGCAAATCTCCAACTTAGGTTACTTATGACCCTTAACCTGGGCCTTGATGGCTGGGTGGCTGACTTAACACCTGACTCAGTCTTTTGCAGGGCCATTGTCATTGTTTAGGGATAATTCAGGTTTTTTAGCAGTTCTTAAAGTTGCTACAGCCATGAGTAACTATAGGCCCTGCAACGAGAGAAGAAGGAGCCTACAAGTATGGACAATCAGGAAGAGAAGCGAGGATGCTAAATCAGGTCCATCTGACTGGGAGGGATGGATCTCTATTTTTCTCTCCAACATTGCTCCAGCCACACGGTTCACTGCTTCGGGTTAAGGGCACACCAGCAATGTTTCTCTGACTGTACTTGGGCCTTTCACCAGAAACCCTAGACCTTACTTAGATCATGAAAATCAGAGACGGTTAGAGTTGTAACACGGTCTTTGAAAGATTTTAGGCCAACCTACATATTCACTAGGTGAGGAAAATGGTGGCTAGAGTTTAAAGGATTTGCATCAAGTCAACAGCCTGTTTAGGGGCAGCAACGTGCCCTAGACCTGGAAACTGAACGCTCAGCCGCTACCCTAGCAACAACACAATTGTGCCGCAGCTGAAAAGGCAGAAAAGGAGATGTGTTCACTGACGTACACATGGCGCCTTTATCAATGGCAAGTCTGCATGAGCCAGCACGGGGGGTAACCCAGAGTCCTTCACATTCTCTTGTCTGTGCACAGTTCCACTGTGTGTGCATTGCCTTTTCAGGGCCAGGCACAGCCATTCATAAGTGCATCAATGTGCTTGTAAGCTGAAGTCTGGGGGCGGCCGGCTCACTCCCTACACCCTAGCCAGAGTCAACTGCTTATCAAAGGAAGTCACAGGATTCACATCGACTTGGTGGTCATTCAGTTACGCTATAAATTTAAGAAGCCTCTGAGCAGTTGCTGGTTGGACTTTAGACCATTTCATCATTCCATTCTGGCTTCTTCATTCATTTACATAAAAAAAGGAAAGTTTACTTTCCAATCAATACACTTTTTTTTGAAAAGGAGACATTAAAAAATATAAAAGTAAAGAAAGGCACTTTGTAGAATGCGTACACATCTGTTTCTTTCTCGTCTACTCTAAGGAGATAGGGAAGTTTCTGAGGCAGGGCCACGTCTTTCTGGAAGCGATGGGCAGCCGCGGGCAGCCAGCGAAAGAGCCAGATTTCCTCCACAGCCTCCAGCCGCCCTTAACTCTCAGGACTCTCGGATTCAGTTGGGTCACTATGGGAAAAGCAGTCAAACTCCTTGGCTTGCACAGGTGCTAAGGGATGGACCTAAACCGGTGAAAGCAAGTTTTCAATCCATAACTGCCAACCAGGGTTGGCCTGAGGCACTTAGGAGAAAGAAGAGTCAGCTAAGTGTCAATGACATGGCTGAGGGGAACTTGTGCTCATGTTGAGGTGCCTAATACCCATTTGTAAAAACCGACCACAGCACATTTGCAGTTTGGGCCATAAGCTTCCCTCAACCACCCAATGGCTATCCCGTTTCCATGTGCTTCGAAACATGAATATTTAGGCTTATGTTTATAAAATGCGACTTTTCATAATTCAGAAAATTACACCAACTGCGCAATGTTGGTTGGTAATCTAGGAGAGAGAAAAAAATGCCAGAATCAGCAGCCAGCTGTAAGAAAGGAGATGTGGGGCTGCTGGACTCAGCAAGAAGTAAGCATGGCTTGATTCAGCAAAAGATCCTTTTTCTAAAAAGTAAAGCCACATTCAACATGTCTTTTTAAAAAATCTCATGCCTCTTCACGCTACACACACATTTGCACACAATCTGAGAATATGATTCTGTACCTACGTAAATATAAAATACACAGTGCGGTATGTTAGGACCAACTGGAACTGATGGTCAAAAAGGGAACTATTGGCACATCACTGAAGGTACTTGCATTCCTACGGTGAAGGGCAATTAGTTGTTAGCAAGATACAAGGCATTTATTGGTTAAATTATCTTGGCTAGAAAATAGTGAGTCATGGAATCAGGGAGCTGGAGTTTGAAAGGACATTAGAATTTATCTGGACCAATATTTCTTTCAGAGGAAACTGGGGCCCAGAGAAGGGAATTGATCTGTTCAATGTGACATAGTTAGGACTAGAGCCTGGGACTCTTGACCCACAACCTGCATCTTTCCATCCGACTAGCTGTTTCCTTGATAGAAAATATTCTACCCATGGGGAAAAAACACTTAGATTCAAATATGAGTCCTAACTGACAAAGAAATATAGTCTTGGCTTGACTTAGTGAGTGGCTAATTGGTGTTTTTATAGGAATTCAGTTCAAGTTGACTCTTTACCCATAACATTTCTTCATGAATACCAAAATCAGGTTATTTCTTAATTTGCAAGCTACCAGAGTGATTGATGTACACCTTGGAGAACAGTGGCCTATTTGGGGAACATTTTAGTCTGCACTGGCTTTGAAGGGAAGAGTCTTGGTCAATGCTACTCAAGGTGGACTATATCCCTTGGCCCTCCTAGAAGTTGTGTGTACTTTCGCAGGTCATTCTGTGCCATCATGTGAATCTTAAAGTACAGATAGATCTTAAAAAAATTATGCCTTCTCCTTACACACAGTGTTGTCCAGTGAAAGTCAAATAGACTTGACTTGTACTTTCCAAGAGCGGCGTTTCCATGTGCTAAAACAGCCTTTAGGGGAAGTGGTCATGGAGGGCGGTACTTCTCAAACTTCAGTACCCACAGGGGTCACCTGGGGAACTTAGTCAAATGCAGGTTCTGACTCTGTAGTTCTGGGCCAGGGAGACCGAGGTCTGCATTTCCATGCAGCGCCCAGGTGATGATGACACAGCTGGTCCTCAGGCCAGACTTTAAGTAGCAAGTATCTAGGACAGTGGTCGGCAAACTCATTAGTCAACAGAGTCAAATATCAACAGTACAACGATTGAAATTTCTTTTGAGAGCCAAATTTTTTAAACTTAAACTATATAGGTAGGTACACTGTTATTAACTTCATTAGGGTACTCCTAAGGCTTAGGAAGAGCCACACTCAAGGGGCCAAAGAGCTGCATGTGGCTCGCGAGCCGCAGTTTGCCGACCGTGGATCTAGGAGGCTGAATGAACTTGGGGACAACTTTTCCAAATGTTCCGCGTACCCTTACGATGTTGATGTATTGGGAGAACAGAGCCTCAGGTCTATTATTTCTGCAATCTGGACGCCAGGACAGTGTATTCGCTTTCCACCATCAGGTTACCTCTGCCTCCAGTTCCCATCAACATGGGCTTGTTGGGTGGGATACTTAACTCACAGAGGTGAGCTCAAATTCTCTAAGTCCAGCTGGGGAGTGGACAGAGAGAAAGGATTTGCCATCAGGTGAAATAAACAAGAGAGGGAGGCAGCTGATGAGTTATGGATGCTCTCTTTAAGATGGAGATCCAGGCTTCTGATCCTTCCGGGGAGCCTGCCCCTGGCACTGACTCAGAGATTCTTACTACCAGACCCTGGTCTTTGTAGCTGTGCCCACCACTCCGCAGGTGCTGTTTCTCAAAACATTTATTTGGAAACTTCTGACGTGAATGTTGTCTCTGCCAAGATTCTGCAAATGGATCTACTCCAGAGAGATAACTAACTCATGGCTTTGCTGAAAATATCTTTGCTGTCCAAGATGGCTCAGAAAAACAAAGCAAAACAAAACTCTCTCTCTAAAACAGTATGCTGGATGTCACCACCCTCCTTTTTCACGATGACTTCTAGAATATTCACCCAGAGAAGAGCAGGAGCCCCAGGTTAGTCCTAAATTACAGGAGAAAAAATTTCTGTGTGTGGAGAGTCCTAACACACTATTGGTGATTGTTGGTTAGTGTATCTGGAGATAAAAGAATCAGGTAAACTATACTATGCTGTATTGGAAATTGAATATTGTCACCCACCTCACACTCCTCAGTGGGCTTTGGTTGGTATGGCATTTGCTCCACAAATAGGGACTGCGTATACTATCATGGACTGTAAATACTCCCTCTAGCCTCAGCAGAAAAGACTGTACCCTCTGACTACGTAAACAGCTGTACTGGGAAGATAGAAAATACTCATTTACTTTACCTAAGTGGTAGAAAAATAGTCTTCAAAAATACATTGTTAAACTTACGGGTCTGTAGTAAAGTAGAATCTGTATGTACAGTAAGGCAGTATCTCCATGACCATCCCGCTGTGAAATTAAAGTTAGTCTTTGGGGACTTTTTTTTTTTCCACTAAGAGAAGACTAAGGTGTATAATAAATTATCTGTTGTGTTGAAATGAAGCAGGAAACCGTTTTAGGAGGATCCATCACGTCAAATTCACTTGCCTCCTGTGTGAGAAAATCTCTCTCCAAAACTATATTTTCTAGAGGCTTTAGGATGAAATACAATTTGGGAGAGGGGAATCCAGGCTTGCCTGATTCCAACTATTTTAAGAAAAAAAAATGGAGGCATGATTTTTACTTGCATATCAGCAACGTGTCACTAAGGTACCAGGAAGTGATGTAAATGACGTGTCGGTTCCGGAATGCATCCTTTCGTGTAATGTGTTATATTTGGTTATTCTCAATAAAATAGGAGAGGAGTTCAAAGGATAAGCAACTGGTTTTCAAAAGCAGCTTACATGGCATTCTTCTCTCATCTATCATCTTCCTGCGCTGGGCTACGCTAACTCCTTCATTTCCTCCTGTCCTACGCCCAGCCATGGGCACCTTTTCCGGAGGCTTTACCTATTGGCACAGTCCCTCAGGAATACTAAGCAGTGCACTTCTATTGCATTGAACATACGATTTTATAACTAAAAACAAACACTAGATCAGCAAATCACAGGAAACATAATGATCCGATCCGGAATCAGCTGTTGGAGAAAGAGGCCACTGGTTGAAAATGGAGCATGAAGAAGAGTGAACTGTGAGTTTTAGTAGTGTCATTCGAACCCCATTCTCGAACATTCTCTAGGAGAGGACATTTCATGTGCGCTGTAGCAGTACCTGAAGAAAAATCACATTATA